CAGGGCTGGGTGCTGAGCGGCCAGCAGGTTGGGGCTGTGCTGGAGAAGATGACTCATGTCTGGGAGGACCCTGAGGCAAATGCTGGGTCTGTGCTCCACATCACTGTCCTCGTGGGCCGACCCTGCTAATCAACTGTGAAAGAGAGAGAGAAAGCTGGAGAGAAATCTTTCTCTCTGCTAACCTCATCACAATAAAGATTCCTATAAAGAGCTCTTATCCTTGAAGAAAATGAGGTACATAAGCAGGAATAGTAAACAAAAGGCTGTCATTTTGACCCAGGAGTGCTTCATGTTGTTGGCAACTGCCAAGAGGAAACATAAAGAGAGGCTGCATCCAAGTCCCAATTATGCAGAACTATGTGACTGATATGTCAATGAGTCCCCCCGGGAGGAGACCACCAGCACTTCCCAGGGCTGCCTGCACAGCATCTGCACCCGCCGCCATGGCCGGGCCGCCCGCGCCCCGAGCGAAGGCGTGTGTGGCATCGGAAGAATGCGGGGGACAAGGTAATGTCATCGGGAACGCTCTCGCCGAAGTCCTCGCCGCACGCACATTATCAGAGCAGGGCCCGGAGTCAGGGACTGCGGGCAGGCAGCGGCGTTTGGCAAACGGTAGTGCCGGCCACACCTGCTGCAGGCACGCTCCGGGAACGTGGCGCAGGCAGGAGGGCTGCCCCGCGCCGATAAGCTGAGTGGATGGAGATAAAATCCGAGCAGGAGATATGCTTTGCTGAGCATCAAGGCTAAGCACCAGCAAGGAGCCAAAGCACGCTGCGGCCCGCAGCGGGTGGTGCGGATCCGCGGGCTCCGGCTGCGCCGTGGCCGTGAGGGAAGGAGATGGGGCAGGACGGTCTCCAAACCAACAGCCAGGGCTTCAGTGATGGACGTGCCAGTGCTTGGGCCCATCGAGGGAACAGAGCTGTGCTGCTCCCTTGGCCAGGACAACGCTGCTCAGGGCAGCAGCTTTGGGGCCTATCCCCCGCCCTGAACATCCCCTCTCTGTGCTGTTGGAAGCCAGGCCCACCTCATCCTTCCCTCCTAGGTGCTGTGACTTCCAAAATGTCACCTTCCTGTACCTCCTTGCTGTCCCCAGGAACCCCTAAGGTTGCCAGGAGCTGGCTCTACCTGGTGCCTGTGGAGCGTGGCCTTCCCAAAGCCACCCTCCGAAATCCACCCTCACGCCAGCAGCCAGGCCCAGGCGCTGGCCCTGACCGTGGCTGCGCGCCCGCTGCAGGAGCCAGGCCACAGCCTTGGCCAGGGCCCGCGCAGAGGAAAGTGCCCAAGGCCGGCAGGGACGTATTTACCCCCGAGAGCACCTTGCTGCAAAAATAGCAAGTGGCCGGTGTGAGGCCGGGGCTTCCCAGGGGAACAATGCCTGGCAGGAGGAAGCGGCCGCGGCCGGCCCGCAGCTCTGTCCCGCCTTGTGCGGCGCTGAGCCGCGAGCCGCTACGTGCCGGCCCGGCAGGGACCTTGAACCTGACACAGATTTATTTTCTCTGACATTGGCATCGCATCGGAACATCTGGCATGTGGCTGATAATTGCTGGGGATCGGGGCGGAAGCCACTCCAGGCCTGGCGCTTCTTCCAGAGCTCTGTTTTCATTAGTTTTTCTCCTCTCTTCAGCTGCAAAGCAAGGAAAAAACAAGCAGGGCTGTGCAGCCTGCACTCCCACTCCTCTCCTCTCAGCACCCGGGGCTCGCTGCTTCCCTCACTCTGCATGGGAATGCTGTAGGGCACATCGCTGTCACACCATGGCAGGGCTGTGCTCACACGGAAAGAGGACAAATCTTTCCCTGAGCCCAGGACTGTGATCCTGCTGTTCCACCCTGGTTATCAGCAGCCCCTTGGCCAGAGCAGAGCCGTGGCACAGCCTTTGCTGGGCTGGTGTGGGGCTTGAGGCAGCCACCCCTTCTCAAGGCTCTCGTCACTGTGGGATGAGGCAGAGAGCAGGACACTGTGCAAACATGTGGGGAGACACTGTGGTGATGGATGGACAGAGCACGGGGCCAGCAATGAGAGCAGATCCCCACTCTGGCAGGATGGAAGGGGCCCTGCAGCCTCTTGCCTTGGCATTGCAGTTCCCGTGTTACATAGGGCAGTTGGAAGCAGCGATCTGCCGGCACAGTGCCCGTGGGTAGGACCAAGCATGGCAGTCAAACATGGGGAAATCACACATGACAAAAACACAGCCAAGGCGTGGCTGCCTCGGGCCAGGGGCACTGGCTTTCTGTGAGTGCTGTTCTGGCAAATGAAGAGCTGCTGGCTGTAGGCACTGTGAGCCCCAGGGACCCGGGAGTGGGGCCCTGAGCATGGAGGAGCCTCCTCCCGTCCTCCTCTGCAGAGGAGACCTCTCAGGGCTGAGGAGGCCGTGGCTGCATCCCAGTGCTTAGTGGGTGAGGTGAGCTCATGTTCCTCCCAGAGGTGTCCTGCCCTGTGCCCTCGGCTCCCTCCCTCCTGCCCTGGGCCGTAAATCAGGGTGGCCGTGGGTGCTGGGGCACTCTGGTGCCCCCCACCTCCCTGCTGGATCTCCCTCCCGGGGCACCTTATCTGCTGCAGGGGTTCCACTTATCTTCGCTGTCACTTTCTAATGCTAGTTTATGGGCAGCGTTTTGTAGCTTAATTATGATGTTTTTCAGCACGGTCACGTGGCCACAGAAGCCAATAAGGCACCGAAGTGGGTCCATCCTGGCTGAGCCTGGCCCCCATGGGGAGGAGATTGGCCGGTGTCCTGCCCGGGGCGGCGTGTGCGCAGCCAGAGCCCCAACACCTTCCCAAGAGATACGGGTCCCCATAAATCCCCCAACCCAGCGTGGACAGGGCAGCGGTACCCGCACCCCACGGAGGCTTCTCGGGTCGCAACTCCTGGCCGGTGGCCGAGCCAGGCTCTCCCACCCGCCGGCCCCACGCGCAGCAGCCGTGCAGCCGCCTCGCGGTGAGTACGTGTCCGTGGGGGGAACCGCGGTCCCTGTCCCACCCATCTGCCAGCCACTGCCGCCATTCCCCGGCATGGTGGCAGCCAAGGCCGGAGCTGGGGATGCGGCAGGGCTTGGCGAGGAAGCAGGAGTCGTGTGTCGGCCTCCGCTTCCCGTCCCCGGCAGCGGGCGTGGGGATGGCGGCTCTGCAGAGCACGGGCAGCAGAGCGAGGCCTCACCACAGCCTTGGCCCCGTGGCCAAGCTGCTGCTCAGAAATGACAGATCTGGCTGCTGAGGGGCCCTGGGAGCCCAGCTGGTGGTGCCTGGGGGTCCCTGGTCACCCAAGGGTTGGGAGTTGCCCATAGGAGCACGGTCAGCTCCGCACCCTGGAGTGGGCATGAGAGGCATCTGGGACCCCTTGACTCCTGGAGTTGGCTGAGCGTGTGTCCTGTCCCCATCCCACGCTGGCATGGATCACAGCCTTCGGCTCTGAGTTGCTTTTGTTCCCCGCAGTGTTTGCGCAGTTCTCCCAACCTAGAGCCCCTCCTGGACTCCTTTTCCCGGATGGCAGCTCCTGCTCCGTGGCTGCCTGGCAGCTCCCCCCGGAGCTCGTGGAGACTGGGGGGGCCGTGGCCGAGGGGCTCTGCCGGCGGTGGGAGTGCTCCTTCCCGGCCGAGCAGCGGCTGACCTGCACTGCAGGCTGCTCTGCTGCTATTCTTAGCCCGGGCTCCATTCCTGGTGGCTCTGGAGTGATGCTCCGTTGAGCCCATTTCCTGTTTGCTGCTCTCCCTGCCAGCGTCGCTTCCTACCCACTGCCCCCGTGGGCAACTGGTGTGTAGGGTGAGAGTGTAGGATGAGCTGGGTGGGATGAGATCTGTGGGATGAGCCCTTCAAGACAAACCATGCAGGGTCAGCCTGGCAGGATCAGCCATATGGGGACATCAGCCATGCCTTCCCTTTGCGAGGCACTGCCAGCAGCACAGTCCTCAGCTGTGCCAGGGCTCCAGGCAACCAGAGCCTCGGGCCCCAGTGCTGCTGTGCTCCCACCATGCTGGGACAGGCTCTGCACCAGCCACGAAGGGTCCCTGACTCAGTGGGTCAGCCCTGCAGGACAGGCTCAGCTCTAGTGCCTGGCTCAGAGCTGGGGCCTCCCCATAGCCAAGTCCCATGCCGTGGTGTGTGGCCTGGGAGCATCCTGGCAAACAGGACATGCCAGGAGCCAGGGTACTGCTGTGCTGGTTTGTTGCCTGATTGAACGTTTAATCAGAATAGCCTAATTGTGAAGCATTGATTCAACACCTGCTGTCTAACAGGCAGACCAGGACACCACTGGGAGTGGGTGCTCCGGGTTGGGTGGCCAGTGCTAAGTCCAAGCTCATCTCCTCAGTGGTGGCTCCAGAGGAGATTTCAGGAGCTGCTGCACACCCCAGTGTTCCCCACGCAGCTCTCCCTGGGCTGGCAGGAGCAGCTAGCTGGTGGGAGGTAATGGTATGTTCTGACAAAGCTGGTGGTCCAGGGCTGTGCACTGAGCAGAACAGGCTCATGCCTAGACATGGTCAATTTTGCTCCAGCCCCGAGACTCCTGGTTCTCAACAGATCCTGCCTCTCTCAGGCCAGACATTTCAGAGAGGTTGGGGGACTTGTTCCCTCCCTACAGATGGTGAGGGGGAGCAAGGAGGGTCTTGAGCCCCTTCCCGCCAAGCGATGCCCCTTGACTGTCCCTGGGGGAGTCCCTGGGGGTATCCCTGATGCTGCCGAGGCCTGGCCGAGCCTCTCCCCAGCCCGGCCGCCGTGTCCCCGGTCCCCGGGCCGGCGGGTCCCTCCGCCCCCGCCCCGTCCCTGCCGCCGCGAGCCGCCCGCTCTCCCAGAGGAGGTTCCCCAGCCCCGGGGGGCTGGCCGTGAGCCCGCACCAACATGGAGATGCTCTTCCAGGCGCTATAAAGAGCTCCGGCTCCCGCACCTGCCGCTCGGTCTCCACCGCGCCCACTCCCGGTCCGCACCCAGCGCCGGGGCTGGGGCCGCCGTCCGTCCCCTTCCCCGTCCCATCCCGTCCCGCTGACCGCGGCTCGTCCCGCAGCAGGGCCGCTGGAGGGGATGGACTATTCCTATGATGAGGACCTGGACGAGCTGTGTCCGGTCTGCGGGGACAAGGTCTCCGGGTACCACTACGGGCTGCTCACCTGCGAGAGCTGCAAGGTAGGACCGGCCGGAGCGCGCGGGGTCGGGGCTGCGGAGCCGGGGCCGTGCGGGGCTGGGGAAACGCAGCTGGGGCCGTGCGGGGCCGGGGTTCTGCGTGACCGGCGCCTTGTGGGGCTGGGGCTGCGAGGGGAAAAGGGGTCCGGGGCTCTGTAGGGAGCGGGAAGGGGGCTCTGCAGGGTCCGGGGCAGCGAGACCGGCTGCGGGGTTTCTCTCGCCCGTTTTCGTTAGCGGCGGATTCGCGGCCGGTGGCGGGAGGGGAGCGCGGCCGCGACGGGAGCCCCGAGCGCGGCGGAGCCTCTGACGAAGGCGGGTGGCGGGGACGGGGTGTCGGTGCCGGGATGCCGGCGTCGGTGCCCACCGCATCGCCGCCGCCCGCCGCCGCAGGGCTTCTTCAAGCGCACGGTGCAGAACAACAAGCACTACACCTGCACCGAGAGCCAGAGCTGCAAGATCGACAAGACCCAGCGCAAGCGCTGTCCCTACTGCCGCTTCCAGAAGTGCCTCACCGTGGGGATGCGCCTGGAAGGTAGGGACGGTCCGGGCACGGCACGGCGGGCGGGGGGCGGCGGGGCCGGGGTCTGTGTCGGGGCTGTGCGGGGACTGTGCATTTGCCGGGACCGGTCGCGCTGTCGCCGCCGCCGCCACCTTCCCGGGCCGGTCAGTCCCGCCGCCGCTTCGATTCCGTTTTTCCCTCCCAAGTTAAGAAAAAAATCGTTTTTTCTCGTCGTCTCCTTCTTTTCCTTGTTTCATTTTGTTTGTTTCCCCGGGGTTCTTGCTGCTACGGCTTAAACTTTCCAGGATTTTTTTTTTTTTTGCTGGCAGGAAGGTTGGGAAATAGCAAATAAATTACTGTTTTCCTTAAGCACATAATTCCAGAAACCGAGACTTAAGGAAAAACGTTAAAAATTATAGGGATAGCAATAAAACTGTCGCAGACCCACCACGAATTATATTTTTCCTCTCGGTGACATTTAGTATAACGGATTTTTGACCCCCGGGGGGCGATTCCAGCCCCACAGCCGCCGCCTCTCTTCTGTCGGCGCGGAGGATCCCGACATCAGAGTCGGGTCCCGCCAGCCGGTATTGCGGTTTCTGCAATGCTCAGCATCCGGCAACGAAATTTATTGGGGGGGACAGGTCGTTGGCACGGGGTGGCAGAGCAAAAGCAGAGGCAGAAGGAGCCCCCGGGCCGAGAGTCAGCCGCCCCCTCCTCACTTCGCCCTTGAAATCGTTTGCGTTTTGCAGCGGCTGGAAGCGATCTGAGTCTGGCCGGGCTGAGCCCCTCGCCCGCCGGGCTGAGCCCCTCGCCCGCCGGGCTCGCTGCTCGGGACACAGCGCGGTTCATCGGAAAGTCCTTCATGTTCTGGCAGGGCGGCCGCTCGCTCCGGGAGCGGGGTGGGAGCCTGCGAGCAGAAGCGCAGGAGTAAGACACAACATCGAGCTGCAAATTCAACCCCTGCAAACTCCCGGCGTGGGCTTGCTTCCAAAACAGATCCCAGTTCCACTCTCCTCCCTGGGCTGGAGTTACTGGTGCCCTAAATCCCTCGGTGCATGCTCTGGCCGCTTTGATCGATGTCGCAAGGGGGTTTGGGTGCTGGGCTGCGGCTGGAGACCCTACGAGAGATGAGCAGGGACAGTGCTTGGGGAGCCCGGAGGGAAAAGGCACGGTCTCAATTTGTCCCTTTCCAGCCGTTTTTGTCGTGTGCACCATGGAGGTGCTTTGGTTCTAGAGCTGTCCCAATAGCCTTTCCTTGTGTATTTTCTTGCTGTTGGCTCCTTAGCAGAGCTGGGCAGACGAGGCACTCACCCGGCCAAGGGCGATATTCTCATGGAACCGTCTCTTTAGTGGTAAAAAAAGAGACCACCTTTTTCAGCTCCTAGTATTTTTGGGCAAGGCATCTAAGGTGATGCTTTGGAGGTGAATCTACAGGTCCACACGACAAGAGCAACCCCGAGGTGATTGATTTTGGGAACAGTGTTGACACAGGCACCCCTCAAAGTGCCTGAAGGGAGGTGGCAGAGAAAGCTGCCCGGGAGGAGAAGCACAGCCCTAGCAGAAGGCTGCCCACAGCCCTAGGCACCCTGCAGGCACTACCCATGGCACTTTCCATGTCTGTGCCCAGGCAAGGAAAGGTGGCCAAAAGGAGGCAGAGCCTGGCCAGCAGCCTGTCCCAGCCAGGGCTCTGCACTGGGATGAGAGCAGGCGAGGCAGTGCAGGTGGGAAGGGGGCTGCAGTGTGCTGGAGACCCCTCCTGCCACCGTGTGGGGTCGCCTGCAGATGGTTTGGGGGGGTTGCTGGGGGTGCAGACTCTTCTTGGGTGGGTCTACTTGAGCCCCCATACCGTAGAGGTCAGGATGCATCATTTTCTCCTCTGCTGTCAGCTGGGACACAGCAAATGGCAAGTTGCTCTCAACCCCAAATGTAACACAAACGGCAGGAAAAGCAGAGCAGGAGGGAATTAAAAGGCCTTTTCTCCCTTTGTGTTCTTGCTGGGAGAGGGGAGGAGGTGTATGCAGTTGCCTCTGGAGGGCTTGTGAGACCGGACCGTGAGCACCTCTCGCTGTGTGGGAGTGCAGCAGCGCTGGGAGGGTCTCTGCCTGTGCACCCCTTCCCAGGGTCACCGGGGTTTGCTTTGGGATGCGATCTCTGGGCGTCAGTGCCCGACATCGAGCAGTGGTGGGATACCATCACTTCGAGTGGGTGTGAGATTTGGTTTTTGCTGTGCTCTGGCTCTAGGGTGTGTGGCCAGGGCTACCAGACCTGCCTGTGTCAGCTCGGGCTGCCTATGTGGGACCCTGGCTGGGGTGTGCTCACATGCTGAGTGCGGCCAGCTGCCTTGTACTCGAGTCAGGAACTGCCCCGGGACAGCTCTGCTGCCCAGAGGGGCGTGGGCCGGCTCTCGGCAGCGGGGGCCACAGCACCCCTCTCTTCAGAGGCTGCCGCTGGCAGCCCGCTCCCAGTGAGATGCTGTTTTCATGAATAAAGAATGAGGGAGGAAGCCAGGGCGGCTCTCCTGGGAGCGCATTCCTGCTCGTCCTGGAAATGCTGCTGCTCCCGGCCACGCTCCCGCCTTTGCAGCCTGCCTCGGGAGCGCTTGGGAGGTGCTCCAGCTCTCCGGGGGGGGCTGGCTGTGGGCCCCAGGAGAAGTAGGCGAAAGAAAGGCAGAGGTAACAGCTGAGAGGCAAAGCAAGACCCGCTGGCTGTCAGCAGGAGCACAAACTAGCAGAGGGGTTCTGCCTTTGATGCTCACTGCAGGCTGCTCCCCCCAGAGCACTCCTCCGTGTCCCTGCGCTGCCCTGCAGCCCCAGCTCCTGCCTTCCAGCGGTCTGACGCTCTTCCAAGGGGATGCCAGGGCAGCAGCCCCCGGAGCACAGCAAGGCGGTGCAGGAGGACAGGCTAATTCTGCAGAGAAGCACCTGCTCCCCTGCACGGTGGCAGATCCTTGGGGTTTTTTTGGTTTGGTGGGAACATCTGCTTTGCTACAGCCGTCAGAGGGACTCTGCCAGTGGGATGCTCCAGCAGAGTCTTCGCCAGGACTGGCAGCCTGAGGCCAGTGGGGTGAAGTGCATGCGCTGGGACCTGCCAGCTGTGCTGCCCGAGAAAGGGGCAGAGATTTTCTGAGAAGTAGCACATGCAGCCTGCATGGAAAGAACCAGGGTCCCGAGGGGGCTGTGGGGTCCCAGGTTCTGCTGAAACAAGGAAATCCCAGGGCTGGTCCAGTGACACGGGTTGTTAAAACTAAAGTGAGTGTCAAATCCCCTCCTCTGCTCAGGCTTTAAGGGCTGTCCCATCAACCCACGGAGAATGAAAGCTGCTTTATCCCTCAGCTCGTTTTGTAGTGAAAGCCAAATGTGTCTTCCTTTCCTGCAATCCCCAGAGGCTCTGAGGGTGACATTGGCTGGGCTGGGAGTGACACAATCTGCCGTCGGCTTTCTGGGAAGGTCTCCCCAGTGCCCCCAAACCCTTTTTGCCACCAAGTCGTGTCCCGCAGCATTGTCTCTGTGCCCTGTGGGAGCCTTGGTCTCTCTCCATGTGGGTTCACCGCAGTCTCTGCCCTCACTCTGTCCCCAGCTGTCCGTGCAGACCGGATGCGTGGAGGGAGGAACAAGTTTGGACCCATGTACAAGCGGGACCGTGCCTTAAAGCAGCAGAAGAAAGCTCTGATCCGTGCCAACGGCTTCAAGCTGGAGACCGTGCCTCAGATCATGTCCCCAGTGCAGAACGACTACAGCCTGTCCTCCACCATCCACAGCATCCACGCCATGTCCAAGACGCTGCCGCCCAACCCGGCCGCGCTGACGCCCGTGGATTACGAGCGCAGCCCCTACGGGACGCCCTCCCTGGGCATGACAGTGCCCGGCCACGCGCCCCTGCCCGCCTACCACTACCCCTCCTTCCCCAACCGCACCATCAAGTCCGAGTACCCCGACCACTACACAAATGCCCACGAGGCCGTGCCTGCTTACATGTACCCAGAGACCTACCCCAGCAGCTCCCCCCCTGACATCCCCGAGGTCATCCTGAAGCTGCTGCAGCTGGAGCCCGACGAGGCCCAGGTGAAGGCACGGATACTGTCCTGCCTGCAGCAAGAGCAGGGCAAAGGCCGGCACGAGAAGCTCAGCACCTTCGGCCTCATGTGCAAGATGGCCGACCAGACCCTCTTCTCCATCGTGGAGTGGGCACGGAGCTGCATCTTCTTCAAGGAGCTGGAGGTAGGAGCTGTCAGTGGGATGGATGCTGCTTGGGGGGACAACGGGAGGCGGGCAGGATTGAGGCTGCCACCATGTGAGGGTGGGATGTGGCTGTGGGGGCAGGATTGAGGGTGAAATGTTGTGAGGATAGGGCAACACCCGTGGGCACAAGCCTGGGGCCATCACTGCAGGTCTGTGGCACATCCCAGTCCTGCTCTCAGCTCCCTGCACGGCAGGGCTGGAGGTGCCAGAACAGTTCCCACTCTCGTGTGGGGCTAATGATTTCAGATTCATCACGGCGGGGGCAGGTGTTGAGGCAATCGCCGGCAGAGTGACTGGGGTGTCAAGCTCAAGATATAATTGAAAAATGTAACGTTGAGGAATTATAGTTGAGACAATTCTGTCCTCTGCCTTTAGGAGGAAAATCGATGTGGTCAGGTGGGTCCTATTAGCACCAGGCAGCCAGGGCAGCCCCAGCCTGCTCCAGAGCCTGCTCACGAGTGTGCCCAGCTGGGAGACACGGAGCTGACCTCCATCCTGCCAAGACATCCCCCCTAACAAATGTCCCTGGACATTCATAGGGACCAGGAGAGGGTTAGCAGGGCTGGAGCAGCTTCTGCCATCCTGCACACCTTGCCAAGCTTTTGGAAATTTTCCATTCATGTTCTGGGATGACCTAAGATCCCAAACTGATGCAAAAAATGGGAGAGAAATTTTTGCAACATGGCCAAAACCCAGAGAGCAACATCCTGGGGCAGCTGTGATGAGACTCAGGTGCTTTCTTGTGTTTCCAGCATAAGATTGTGCTGCTTGACTCTGGCCAAAGTCACCTTCTTCCAATGGGACTGTGCTGTAGGACAGGACCAGGCTCTTCCCTGTGCCATGGGGCTGAGTGTGGCCGAGCCTCATGGCTCAAAATAGCCCCCGTCTGCCAGAACAGTGTCAGGAAATGGCATTGTGGGGGTGGGTTGGGCTTGTTTCAATCATATCAGTGTCCAGCCTGGATTTTGGGAACAGGGTGGTTGTTGTTTTGCAGGAGATATTGTAAACAGTGTAAATTCAGTTCCCAGCTGTATAGTTGTGTAGCCTTGTAACTCCATTGTCAGCGTGATTGTGCCACCAAAATAGGCACTGTGTGAATCGGTGTTGGAGGGTGCTCCTCCTGCCGTGGAACTCTGGGGGGGATGGCAGTGCCACAGCCTCACCTGGGCACAGCTACCAGTGTCCTTTTGGGAGCAGAGCACGTGTCCTGCCCTGCTCAGGACATGGGGTTCAGTTCTCAGTGGGTGCCCACATCCACCACTGCTGTCCTGGGGGCTCAAGCGTTTTACCTTACCCACATAGTGATTGTGGGGTGCATTCCCAGCTTCTCCTGGGGCTGCAGGACCCCACAGCCAGAGGGAGAGCAGCCAGTGGGACTGGAGTAGGTCTGAGATCCTGAATCCCCATTCCCGCTCCTGCCTGGCACATAAAAACAAGTGGCTGCTGGGGTGGTAAATGAACTCCTACTAGAGCAGGGTTTATGGCTCTGCCCTAAAGCCAGCACGGAGGAACATGGCAATCTCTGAGATCGATGGCACCGGCAGCCCCCGCTGGGTGCTCGGGCTCCTCAGGGCAGGGATGCCAGCAGCCCTCTCCCTCCCCTGGGGCTATGTGAAGGTGACTGTCCCCAGCTCCAGCAGGGAAGGGCTGCTGGCTGAGTGCAGGGATCCAAGGTGGAAAGGCCCTGTGCTGGGACACCCCTCCAGGACATCGTGCCAGGCTGGCATTACGTGGGGAGGAAGCCCAGGCAGGTGAGAAGGGGAGGTGTGGGCAGATTGCCCCGTGGTGGATTGCTCTGCCTGAGCCCACCCAGCACCATTGTGCTCCTTCCACAGGGCTGTTAGCAGAGACCCGAGGCCTCACAGGGAGCCTGGAGAGGAAGGAGCAAATCCTCAGGGACATGGGGAACTGCTGGCTCACTCCTGGTTAGGACGAGCCTTTGGTCCCTGCCCAGGGACAATGGGAGCAGTTTCCCCTGGAGCTTGCTCCCATTCCCATTCCCACTTTAGCAATCTGCTGAGGGCCCGAATGGGTGCTTTGCTGTCTCCACACTCCCGGCGTGTTGTCTGGGCTGGGGGACATTGGGGAGAGCCCCCCTGGCTCCAGCAGGGGAAGGAGGGGGGCCACGGGCTAATGGCCTCTTGACATCGGCTCACACGCCACGTCCGCCCGCAGGCGCGGGGCAGTCAGATTGAAAACAGATTTAACTTCCCAGATATATCGTTTCATTTAAGGGCCAGTAATTCTGTCAGTCTGCCACTGACAAACGAGGGTCCCCATGCCAATCCGCCGGGAGACTGATGTCGCGGCGTTCATCTCGTGTCACCAGGGGGAGAATTACGGACTGCGCTGGCCTTCGGAGCCAAGACTAATAACGCTGCACGGCAGAGGGGGATTTGGGGGCCCGCTTGTTTATCGAGGGCCGGCCAGGCAGCCGCGGCGCGAGGCCGCGCGGGCGGAGGTGGAAGAGGTCAGCGCTGACGCCCATAAATACGAACTTTAACTGAGTCTAGATGAGATGTGTCAGGACTGAGGGAAGATTTGCAGCATCTTTTCAGGAAGAAAAATATGGGCCGGGGGTGAAATATATTTTGTTGGGTTGTGAGTCTCAGGCAACTTTGTCCTTTCAGATGTAATTTTTTTATATGTATATGGAGAGAGAAGGATAGAGGGATGTGCACACGCGCACACAGGCTTGCACACTCACATTGTGTCTGGTTTTGGTGTGGATTATACAGATACATTTTGCACAGCCTGGTTTATATAGGTGTCACTGCCATACCTACATATCAATATCATGTACACAGGCTTGCAGTGACCTTTAGATTGGGATGAGCAGCCAGGAATGTTAAACAAATTGCCATGGTTTCATCCCGAAGGCCAGGCTGGGTTGGGTGTGCAGTGGGTCCCTGCACCAGTGGAGGGGCACGGCACAGCCGCAGGGTGCTGGGATGATGCCGACCCCTTCCTCAGCTCTTTTGTGCCCAGGGCATGGGGCAAACCTTCCTTCCATCCACAGGTAAGCTCCAGTGATGGAGGGATGCTGAGGGCAGCACCGTTCCCACAGACCCAGGGGTTCCTGTGGTCACCGGGTCTCTCTGCTGTGCTGCTCTCCCTCAGCTGTGCTTAGAGATCCCAGAGCCACGACAAAACCTATTTGCAGTCAGTTGCTTCTCTGCCTTTAACATGTGGGTCATCTTGACCCCATCTCCTGGCCGATGGCCAGGGTGTTTTTGGCAGATTTAAAATCTCCTTCTGGTCGTGGATGCTGCAGCAATGTTTAGCATCTCATGCACTGGGGGAAATGTGACGCTTCCCTGCCTGTGGTGTCCTGGCCAGCACAGCCCTGCCTGCAGAGCTGTGGTGCCCACACAGCTGGGGCTGCAGCAGCCTGGGAGCCAGCAGGGAGAGAGATCTTGGGCTAGCCACACCGGTCTTGGTGGTTATTTGTTTTAAGATGCACATCGTGGTGGTATCTGGGCAGGGCAATGAGGACCTGCACTGACCATTAATGCCTTGGACGTGTGTGGGTTTTCCATTGCAGGTGGCTGTTGGACACCTATTTCTTCTCAGTAGCCAAGGTGGTGGGTCCTGCTTGCACTCAGTATTTTCTGGGGCTGCTCGGGGTGCTGACATGTGCCAAAGAGTGGTGGAGCAAATCCTGTACCTGAGATCTGGGAGGAGGCCTGGAGGGCAACTGTGTGGTGGGGACAGGCTAGGGGCATGTGAGTGCGGCTTGTGCCCGTGGCTGGGGATGGGTGTCCTGCCAAAGGGCTGCTGGTGGATCTCTCTCCTTCCTAAAGCAGTGGTACCCAGGGTGGGGGCTGCCCTGAACCAGCCTGCAGGGAGCAGTGAACACTGCGGGGCTGTGCCATCCCTGCGTGGGCTGGGCACATTTTGGGGAGTCCCAACACTTGCAGGGGCTTCCTCACCTTGTACCTGTGAACCCACAGGGACTATGAAAGCACAAACTACACCCACATGCAGGTCCTGCAGCCCTGTGCCTGGGCAGCACCATCCCTGCCTCTGCGTGCCCTGCCTGCACTCCAGCACAATCCCAGATCCTCTCACACAGAGAACTGCATTTTCTGTGGGTTGCAGCCCATCAAGGATTGCTCTTCCAGTGTGGGGAGGGTTTCACCGAGTGTTTTGTGAATGGGTTAAATGCTGGCTTTAAAAAAAAGATAAGGATTGCCTCTCAAAGACAGCTTGCATCAGGCCTTTGATAAAGCACTCGGAGGAAAAGCCTTGACATTAAAAGAGGAAGATCCTTTGCTTAACTTTTAACAGCGAGCGTGTGTGCTGCCGCCTCGCTGGGAGGATTGATTGTCTCTGAGTGCCCCTCCATTAGCAGCCCCCTGCTCCTGTCAGGCCAGGCCAGGGCAGGGTGCAGCCCTTGACCCCCTGCAGCAGAGCCTCAGTGCTGGAGCTGCCACCCAGCCTGGGCACGGGGACAGCCAGCTTGGTGCTGGGGACAACTGCACGGACCCCAGCCAGCTCTGACAGGCCCATGCAGCCCCCAGCCCCACCCCACCATGCTCCCAAGCACATTGCCCCCATGCCACTGCCATGTGGCTCTGGTGCACTGCGACGTTCCCAGGAAGCAGCGCAGCACGTCAGAGCAAGGGAACAGCCCTGCAGCAGCCATGAAGGGTGAAATGTGCTGCTGAGGGGCTTCAGGGAGGCAGCCAAACACCCCTCAGAGTTTGGGAGAAGCAATTTTTAAAGGAAGAAAATAAGATTTCAAAATTGTTGAAGTTCTTTCTTTGGAAAAGCTAAATTTTTAAAACAGTTTTCAAGGCAAAACCTTCTGTCTGTCTCTTCTGGAGCTCATCCCGCTCAGGAATGAGGCACAGGAAAGAACTTCCAAAACAACGCCCTGGCTGAGCCAGAGCGGAGGCGCTCGGCACCGGCCGGGATCGTGCAGCTGGGCTGGCCCCAGCCCGCTGCTGGGGCTGGCCACTGTCACAGCCGGCCACTGGCCTTCTGGCAGGGGTCACCAGGCTGCAGAAAGTCTCCATTAGGGTTCAGTGCAGAATGAGCTTTTCCCCAGGGTTTTGTTGAGCAGCTGACCTGGAGCCTCACGCTCTGCAGTGCTGGGGCATGAAGAGCAGCTGCTGCACTGGTTGGGGGTGAGGGGTGAGTGTGGCCTCGGCAGCCCCGCAGTGCCCACAGCCCTGAGGGTGGGCAGGAGCAGTGCCACAGCCCAGCCACCATCACTGCCTTCCTTCCCACCTCAGCTCATCCCCTGCACTGCTGCACAACTGATTCTGGACACCCTCCACCCTCCAGGGACAAACCCCAGCAGGGAGCACCGGCTCTGAGACCATAAAGCTCTTTCTCATCTGGCTTCTATTCCTTTTGCAATCTCCCAGCGCGGGTTTATTGCAGCCTCTTCAGCAAAACGAGGGCATTATCCAGGCCGGTGATGCTGCATCTGTCTTCCCTCTATTAACGGGGGAGCACAATGGCCCTGCAGAGCTCGACTGCTGGCACTGGATGTGCTCCTCAGGGCTGTAGTGGAGGCTATACCATAATCCCAACCCTTTCCCTACACTGTCCCTGCAGGATAGGGGAGTCCAGACAGGGCAGGAGTTCAGTTCTTCATGGAACGGAGATGGGGTTCAGTGGAGAGCAGTGCTGAGGGGATGAAGCCAGTGACCCATGGTGGTTCTTGGCAGGACAGTGGGGAAGGCAGCATGCCCTACATCCTGCCACAGCTCTGGGAGATTTTAGCTCTTCCAAATGCAGCTGTTGGCTCTGGCAGCTCGTCCCACCAGCCACTGGTGCTGCCTGCAGTCCCCAGTGCCCTGTGGGACCTTTGGGGACCCTTGCAGCCTGGCTCGAGCTGCTCACAGGGACGGTCCCAGGTGTTTGTCTGGGCACACACACACAGGCACATGTGATCCCAAGTGCGTGTGTTGGAGCGTGGGCAGGGCTGGGCTGGCAGCTGCAGGGCACAGCGATGTCCCGTGCCCAGCAGCTCCCCCACGGCCCTGCTGCCCCCCCAGACCTGCCATCCTGGGCAGGGAGGCCAGCATGGGCACTGTCTTCTTTCGTTTTAAAGTATCCAGAGGGGCTGTCTGGACACACAGGCCCTTTGTGCAGCCACCGTGTGTCCCTCCCGCAGTCATTTTGTTAAAATTTGTGTGCGATTTGAGGAGGTTGTGGCTGGTGGGGGAAGACCCGTGCTGATAAGAGCCAGCAAGTGCCACTGAAACATGTTGAGCTGCTTTGAAGCCAGCTCTGCAAAGCCACCTGCCCATCTCCTCTCCTCCAGCCCAGGGTTCCCCTTTCTGGGGTGCAGCTCTAGCTCTCCATGCTCATCCCAGGGACCCCCCTCCCATGGGATGCCTGCCAGGCACAGGGTGAGTGCTGTGCACTGCAGCACGGTGGGTGTCAGCTGTGCTGCTCCTGCTCTGTTTCAGGTGGGTGACCAGATGAAGCTGCTGCAGAACTGCTGGAGTGAGCTGCTGGTGTTTGACCACATCTACCGGCAGCTGCAGCATGGCAAGGAGCACAGCGTGCTGCTGGTCACTGGCCAGGAGGTGAGAAATGGCCTCTGGGACTGTGGTGGTGCTGTGGAGGGGCAGTGGGGATGGACAGGGGCTGCATGGGGGAATGGAGTGACTTCTTTCTTTCTTTTGTCCCAGTGTGGCCAACTTGGAATAGGGCAGGCAGGTGGTGTTGTTACCCTCTGGATCTGCTTGTGCAGAAGGTCCCATCCTGCCCCACCCTGCCACACAGCTCCTGGTTCTCGAGAATAATGTTTCTTATGGAGAGTTCAACAGCCCCACCATCAGCGGTGGGATGGGAGGAGGGGCCCCTTCCCTCTCTGGAGGTGGAGATGTGGTGCCTTCAATTCCAGCATCCTGTGAAGGGCCCCCTTGTTTTGAATCGTGTTCTCATTTCGCCCACCAGTCATTTTTTTGACACCCCTAACTCTCGGTCAGTGCTCAGGGCTGAACCCGGCTCCTGCCCCGTGTGAGGTGTCCTGCAGCAGGCTGTGCTGGGACTGGGGCTGCCAAAGCTGATGCCACCGCTGTCCTGGCAGGTGGACATGTCTGCCATCGCAGCCCAGGCCGGCTCCATCCTCAACACGCTGGTGCTGCGGGCGCAGGAGCTCGTCCTGCACTTGCACTCTCTCCAGGTGGACCGGCACGAATTCGTCTGCCTCAAGTTCCTCATCCTCTTCAGCCTCGGTGAGTGCAGCTGGGGGGGCACTGGGGCGAGGGGCAGCGCTCTGGGGTCTCTGCCAGCGGAGTTTGGAGTGGGAGCGGGGCTGGGGGGGGCTCCGGCTGTGCCACAAAGGAGCTCTTAGCGAGGAGCCAGGAGCGAGAGCTGGCACCTGCCTGTCCCCCTCTCCCCCGGCACTCAAAACCTCTCCCGCTGCGGGCCCGGGCTCTGCTCCAGCTGCAGGGCACGTTGTCACCCCCTTGGCCGATCTGAGCCTGTTTTGGGCACTCTCCCATCGCAGCGGGCAGGGAAACAAGCGCTGATATGGCTGGGGGAAAACAGGAGTGTTGACAGAGGCGGCCCGGCAGGACCGGCCGTATCTCCCGGGATGTGCGTCAGAGAGAGCCCGAGCGGGGCTCGGCCCGGGGCTCCCGGCTCCTGATTAGCCTCAGCCCGGAGCCTGCGGTCGGGCACAGCCGCCTCCCACCTCACCCAGACTAAATAACACCGCAGCCTGGGCGCTGCTGCCAGAGCCTGAAACGTGCTGGGGTGGCAGAGCCCGCTCCTGCCCCCGGGATCCCTGTGCCAGCCCACTGCTGGGGCATGGTGGTGGCAGAGCTGTGTCCATCCCCTCCCTGTCCCCATGCCAGCCCTGTCCCTGTTCCGATGGCTCTGTGCTTGGACTCCTGCACCGCGGGGTCCCGTGCAGGGATCAGCGGTGGGAGCTGCGCTGCAATCCCCTCCTGCACCTGCAGCATCTCCTCCCTCAGCTCTCCTTTCCTCGGGAGCTGTTTAGAAACCCGGAGAAACGAGACACGATAATTCGCTGCTCAGGCAGTGATAAGGTGTGGCACAAACAGTGCCCAGGCTGGGAAGTGAAGGAGCCGGGGGGGGCTCGTACCCCGAGCCAGGACCTTCCCTGGCCGCTGCCCCGCGGGCTCAGGTCCTGTCCCGTGTCCCCTGTGTCCCCTGGCATGGCACACACAGGAGCGTGTCCCCCCCTCCCCAGTGGCTTCTCCAGAGCAGCGGCTTTCAGGGAGCGTGGAATCCAATAGCTGTGTCCTCCCATGCATCATTTTGCCCCAAATGCAACTTTTTCTCGCCATATTGCAGAGCTCACTTGGAGTAATTTGCCCTTCGTAGGCTCAGCTGTAGAGGACGGGATTGTGTATTATGTGCAGGATGTAATTGCCTTTAACAAGAGAATTTCCACATTTACCACTCTGCCACAGCACAGTCAAAGCCAAGCCCTGCTCACAAGAGCTGCCATTTGAGTTCTAAATAGATTTCTCTCCTGAGCAGGTAAAGAGATTTAATTAAAATTAGGGCTTCTCAAAATAGCAATATTTATGAGGACGGCACAGGTTAGCTTTGTTCTACGGAAGGGCTTAATAGAGCCTTAATGGATTGACCTATCATTCGATTTCATGACTTACATTCATGAAGCAGCTACTCTTGGGGAGGGGAGGAAGAGAGGCTTTTATAGCCCACATTCCCTTAAGCGTTTGCAATTTATCAGCAGCTTCTCCCAAACAAAAGGAGCTGTGAATAGGAAGAACACTTGAGGGCATAGAAATAATCCCAGGCATATCTGTATGTGTGATGGGAGGCTTTGTCACAGGACAGTCTTTGCAACTGCTGCAGTGTCTCTAAATGAAGTGAGTCAATGTTATTTGGACAACATTCTTTATTCCTTGCAGGAATGAAAAGATTATTCAAATATTCAATTAAACAGTGAATAGGGTCTTTCAGAGAACCAGGTGAGTTCATCGAGTAGAACTAGCTATTGTTGAGCCAACTCAGGGGATAGATTTGACATTTATCAATATAACTTCTTTTTTTTTAATGACATGCACAATAACCTGATGCAGATAAAGAGATTTCATAACAGCAACCCGGGTAGCAGGAGACAATAGGAGCAAATGTGCCGTCAGAGTGAAAAGGGAAGGGTGATCTGATCCACTGCATCTTGGCACACCCTGTGCCCTTTGTGCCTGTCCCCCGCAGTGCCCGTGGCCATGGGCATGGCCCGAGGCTGGGGCTCCCCGGGGGCTCAGGGCCCCAAGACTGTGCTGTGCCTCCCCTCCCTGGGGCTCTGCAGTGCCCCCGACCCCACCTCTGCTCCCGGCTCTGACCCCCGACCGGGCTGCAGCAGCTTCGGGTGCCACAATCCCTCCAAGGGAGCCCCAAACGCCATCTACCTTGGCCAGACCCTGTGCTCAGATTTCTCTGTTTCCAGCTGGTGAATTTGGCCACGCATCAGGGTCTGTGTGCACAGACAGTGAGTGAGGCTGTGACCAAGGCAGTGCTCCCAAGTCCTGCACAGTAAATCCACTAAATCCACTTGCCCTGGATGAACCCTGCCGGGGTTGGCAGCAAGGTCTCTGCTGGGCAGGTGTGTGGGACTATGGCTGTGTGCAGTGTAGGTGGTGATGGGGCAATGCCCATTTTGGTTCCCTAAAGCCACCAAAATCTGCGTGCAGGGACGATTGCCCCTGCCTGCACCTCAGTGCTGCTGCCTGCTGAGCTGCTCCCTGCCCTGCTAGCAGCAGAGCTGGCAGCAGGATTATGGAAAGCTGCTGTGGCCCTGGCGAGGTGTGCAGGATTAGGGTTTCCAGGCTGGTGAGCCTGGTTGCCACATTGGAAAGACCAGGTTTATCAGGGAATTAATTCAGCCGCTTCCTCGACCTTCAGGAATTAAAGAGGGATGATGGCAGCGACTCCCGATGTGTTGGCACAGCTGGCAACACCTTCTGGCTTTGCAGCTCCCTGGGCAGCGAGTTCTACTGCCAGGGGGTCTGGAATCTGTCTTCAGCATCAGGGAAGACCTGGGGAGTAGGGTAGGGATGGAGTAGGGTAGGGATGGAGTAGGGTAGGGATGGAGAGCCCGTGGCTGGGTGGGGACAGGCTGTGGGACCCCTCCTGTGTTTTCATGCATGAAGGGACATTGACCCAGGCGTGTGGATCCCTCCTGGCTCACCCAGCACAGCGTGGCACAGACAGATGAGGCAGACAGGTGAGTTTGGCACCATTTCACGCCCACGCTCCCCCTTGCAGATGTGAAGTACCTGGAGAACCACACGCTGGCCAAGGATGCTCAGGAGAAGGCCAACGCGGCGCTGCTGGAGTACACGGTGTGCCACTACCCCCACTCCACCGACAAGTTCCGCCAGCTGCTGCTGTGGCTGGCAGAGGTGCGGGCGCTGAGCCTGCAGGCTGAGGAGTACCTGTACCACAAGCACCTGAGCGGGGAGGTGCCCTGCAACAACCTCCTCATCGAGATGCTGCACGCCAAGAGGACTTGAGCGGCCACCAGCGCGACCCGGTGCCTCCAGCAGGGGCGGGACTGGTGCCCGGGGCTGGTGGTGCCTTCCTCAGTGATGCTATTTAACCTCTGCTATTGGAAACGCCCCAGAAGGTTTCGTACACAGCAAGGACAGCTGAGGCTGCAGGGCCGTGGCTTGGCAGTGCTGACCCCCAGCTCCACTGCACACCTGGTGCCCAAACCTGTCACTTGCCAGCCCGGCTCAGCAGCACCAAGAAAGGGTGAAGCCTGTCCCGGTTTTTCTCCTATTTCTGCTCCTCTCCTGCTGCCCCCACCAGCTGTTTCTTTACTGCCACCATCCCTCCCCAACCCTGCCCATGTCTCAGGGCCCCTCGTGCACAGGGCAGGAGAGAGGGGAGGTGAAACCCCTCCAGGTTGTGGTTTTATGGTGGTTGAGGTGTCTCCAGGCACCAGGGAACACACGGAGGTGGAGGATTTCTGCAGGAAATCTACACAGAATGCTGGGGCTGGGCTGGAGATGTCGGCCCCATGCAGCCAGGACCCCAAGGTGCAGATGCCAGGTCCCAATTGCTGCCAGCTCTGTGTCCTGCAGCTGCCCTGGCCAAGACAGGGCAGGCAAGGACGGGCAGTGCTGAATCCTCAGCTGAAGTGCAGTGCCTGCTGCTGTTGGAGACAGCAATTCTGGGGCAGCCACAGTGCCCAGAGCCCAGAGCTGCCCACGGGCAGTCCTGCCCACAGGTGTGGTGGCAGAGCAGCCCGGCAGGAGGGAGGTGCAAGCTCTAGCATGTGCCCAGGATCTTGGGGAAACTTGGGGAGCTCTGCAGTGCCTCTCTGCATTTATCTGCTGACTGAGTGGGTAAGGAGGAACAAGGATTGTCCTGCACTTCATGCTGGGCCTCCTGGCCCCCTCCTTTGCTCTGCCATGTCCCCAGGGGACAGCAAATGCTGTGCCAAAGCCACAGGCAAGGAGCTCTCTGTTCCTCTCCTATCATGGGATCGGGGCTCACAGACAGGACTGGGAGCACTGGGGGTCGCAGCCCCCCCAAACTGGGCCGTGCTGGACTCTCACTGCTGCTTTCTCTGGGTCTCAGCCGTGCTCTCCTCTCCTCTGCCCCAGCTCTGGGGGTCCTGCAGCATGGCTGGGGCTGTTCAGGTTTGTTCCCTGGGGCTGGGGATGTCCCGGTGCCTAGGGGCCACTGCAGCTCGGCAGAGCCGGTGCCTTGAGGAGCCACAGAGGCTGCACGGTTTGTGAAGCTTGTTAGACACACAAGAAAGAGCATGTTTGTCTCTGCTTTAACACGTTTGTGCATTTTCCTCCTGAAGTCTGTGGTTTGATTTCACCTTCTTCTTTTTGTGAACTTAAAGAACTGGAGAAAATGGTTTGGGAGGTAAAAGATGTTTTATTTTCAGAAAATGAAGTGTCCTTAAGTGTCTCTCTCTGTCTTTTACATCCTTTCCTCTCTCTCATCCCTGCCCTTCCCCACTCCTCCCCCTTCCTTCCCAGGCAGAAGGTTACCAACTTCCTTGTCAGGAGCAAACCACTGTAATAAATTTTGCAGTTCATTTAAAATGGCAAACTTTGTCTTTTTTTGGCTGTCTTTCTAACCCTTGTGGTTGGTGCTTGGCTTGGGAAGAGCTGGGACAGCAACATTTATGGGCAATTAGTGGGCAGTGCCCTGGTCTTGCACCGTGGCCAAACCCCCTTCACTGGGCTCAGCCACACAGAGCTGGACATGAGCCCCTTCCCTCAGACACAGTGCAACAAGGAGAGGAGGTTGTCTTTAAAATCAGCATTTACTGTTGTCATAATCAGCAAAACCCCACCACATTTTCTGTGTTCTAAACACTACCGAGGTAATAGGAGAAGAGGGAAGGAGAGCAGCTCCCAGCTGGCGAGGGGCCAGGCCAGCCGGGCTGGAGCCCAAGCAGGAGCAGGGAGAGGATTTTTGTCCTAAACAGCAGAAGATGCTATTGATGTCAGCTGGTTTAGAAAAGGCTTGAAGCCAGCTGCTGGCTTCCCTAGTGCCTGTGCTTCATCCACAGCCCGTCCCCAGCCCTGCCCCAGCTCAGGAGTGCTTCCATCCTCACCAGAACAGGAGTGTGGGCACAGCCTGGGCACGGCTGCCAGGGACAAACTGGGTTTGTTCCCATCCCACTGCTCCAGCCCCTCAGGCAGCACCAACAAAAGCACACAGCCAAGCCCTGCCAGTGCTGCTGGCAGGGACAGGGGCAGTGCTGGCAATGCTGCCCCCAGGCCAGCCTTGGCTGCCCTGGCAGAGGCTGCAGGAGCTCTGGGGACCCCAGAACACAAATACCTGCCTTGGAATGCCTGCCCAGGAGAGGAGCAGGGCAGTCAGCAGCAGACAAAGCCCCATGAGACCCCCCCAGTGTCCCTGCCGTGGTTTGGCAGCACGAGGTGCTGGGAAGGAGTGCAGGGTGGCAGCTCTGCCCGGGCTGGAAAATCTCCAAGGGAAGCCAGCTCCTCTGACCTGCCATCCTTCCTGCTGGAGGACCCTCTGAGTTGCAGGCTTGTCACCCAGAAACTTCTCAGAAGCCTAAAGCAAAAGAGAGAAGGTCTCAGCTCTGCTGGCAGCAGGGGAGGGCAGGGGTCCCTCCCAGGGCAGTGGGAGAACTGGTGGGATCCCACAGCACAAACCTGCCACAGGACAGAGCTGTGGGTGCAGGTGGCACAGCTCTGCCACCCCAGACACCCACCCTGTCCCTCTGGGGTCTCTGAAACATGGTCCCTGTGACAGGGAGCCAAAGCAGCCTCCATGCACAGGGCCATGGCTGTAGGGAAACCTTTTGTCCCCTGGTCAGTCATCCCTGAGCACAACACCCAGTGCTGGGAGCACGGAACAATGAGCTTGAAATGGGGTTTAAGGAAAACACCAGCTCTGCCATGGCAGGAAGCACCGTGCCCCATGGGCTGCATCTCCTCCACAGGGTACACAAGGGACTCCTCAGGAAGGGCCATGGCACCAGTGGTGACCCCAGCAGGGCTGGCATGGACAGGGTCTGCATTTCCCCCCATGACACTCAGCTGCTTTCCTGGCTTTGTATCCCAAACACTCACAAGTTCCTTATTATTTCAAACCAAGCTTATGTAACACAATATGGTGAGAGTTGCAGAATTACTCAGTATCGATCAGAGGAAGGCTGGGCTGTGGAGACAAGATCCATGTTGCTATGTGTGGCTTAGCAACATATAAATGTATTCAAACAGAATAATGAAATTATCGTGGGGAAACAAAGCAGCCATCACTTGAGGAGATGGAGGATGTGGAGGCCTCTTGGAGCCCTTGTTTGCCAAGACAAGGAAGATGGGACTTATTGTTTGTACAAATATGTGAACGGCCCCAGCCATGCCCTGCTCACAAAAAGTGTGTAATGAAGCCAGGCCGGGCTTGCTGCACAGAGCAGCTCCTACAGCTGGGCTGGAGCTCATTACTGTGGAACTGCTCCATGGACTGAGCCCTTTTTGGGGGGAGGCCATGCCTGGCTCTTGCCACAACCACGCTGCAAAACTCCCCATTGCTCTGGCTCTGGCCTGGCATTCACCTGGATTTTATCCACCCTTATCCTCACCCATCCCACCTCCCCATGGACCCACTGTCTGTCCCTTGCCGTTGGAGCCAGTGCAGCACCCAGAGTTCTCACAGGAGCGTGGCTGAGGCCCTGGAGCAGAGAAGTGCTGGACCCCACCCCAGATCCAGCCCAGCTTTCCTGGGACAGACAGGTGGGCTTCTCCTAGGTCTGTGCCACAGCTCCTGCTGGCAGCAACACTATTTTCATCAGCTGGCTGGCATCTTTCATATAAAGATATCTGGGGCTAAACTTGTCTCTTTTCATTAAACTATTTGGGAGACAACAAATAAAAGAGGGAGCAGTGTGTGTGCTGGAATGATCTGTCCCCATTCTGGCACCCAGGAGCTCTGCAGTGCTTTGCTCTGTGAACAGAACACGAAGGCACAGCCTGTGTGAGGCTGAGCTGCCCTGGGGTCCCCAGCAGCCCTGCAGCTGGGCACCACAGCCTTTTATTAGGTTTTATTATCTGCTTTAGTGGCTGGAGGCACTTGTGGCTGAGCCCAGAGCAGTGGCGGGGCCAGCACCAGCACAAGCACAAGTGTGAGAGAAGAGCTCTTCTGGTTCAAGATCTTCTCGTTGAGCCCAGCTCAAGGATTGCCCAGGCCCGGGGGCAGCCTGGGGGGCTCTCAAGGAGGGTGGCCATGCACAGCCCTCCTTCCACCCCTGACCATTCCCATGGCACCGAGCCCAGCCTGGTCTTCCATCACCCTCTGTGCACACCTGGGCTTTAAAAAACACACTGAGGGCTCACCTGAGAAAATAAAGCCAAGCTAAAGAACCCACTGCTTTGCACAGCTGGAGTTTAATAACACATGTGGGTTATAAGATATGCAGAAGAAGGTGAGGATGGGTGTACAGAGCACAAATGCCTGTGTTGGGTGTAGATCTTGCAGCCTCTGAGACCCCGCTCCTGTACCCAAAATGTCACTGCACAGCTACTCCTGGGTGCCACCATCTCTGCCTTTCTCATGTGTCCAGTGTGGGGAGGAAACCTGCACTGCTTCTGGCTGGCATCGTCTCGAAAATAGTCTGAGGATGCCCTGCTTAGACACTTCATGTGGAGCAAAATCAGAAACCTGCTAATGCACTGCTTGCCTTGACAAAAGGAAATGTCACAATGCAGGAAGAATGTGATCACTCCACCCCTGGTGTGCCCTCACTGCACTGTCCTCCTGAGGGTCCCCATCCAGAGGTGGCACTGGGAGTGCCCAGCAGTGGTTGTTAAAGAAAATAAAGTGAAATATGCTCCGTTTGTATTCCGAGGAGCTGGGGACTTGCCCAAAGCCAGGCTGGGGAGCTGAGGAGGCAGCAGGGAGCTGCCATCCAGCAGAGGCCTGGGGCTTAGGAGGGATTTCTGGTTTTAACTCTACCCACCTCCATGGTGACATTGGCCTTTCTGCTACCTGAAACACAAGAAGCTAAATGGCTGCTT